ACTTAACACATACAAACAAAAATATGTATGTTTCTTATTATAGTCAACCTCGGTAATTGGCCAGATTAACAGGGTGGCGTTGGAAGACAGAAAGAAGAGAAACTTAAACGCTCGCTGTCAAACTGCAGATAAATATTTTTGCCGCGGTCGCGTCTGATCGCCGATTTAGTCGTGGGGGTGGGGTGGGGACATTTTAGAAATACAGGCGAGGGCGATTTGTCGTTCTGCTCCGGTTGGGTTCCTGCCAAAAATCGGGGGTCCTGAAAAAACTTCAGAATATCTGTTTGTTCAAGTTGTTTGGCTTTCAAGTTATATTTGTGTGTGTGTGTGTATGTGTGTGTGTACGTGTACAGACACGCAATCGGTTGAATTAAGCGAAATAGCATGTTTCTTTCAAGTGGGCCTACTGAGAAGAAGGACGCTACTAATCATACTAATGCAAATAAAATACGATCACCACCACTAATAAAAAATAGGGTTAGGAATTGTCTGACTTGGTTTGTGCTAGCTAGAACATGGGCGCCCGGGTGGTGGTGAGGAGAGATGAAAGCTGTCTCTTAGTTCAGCAGCTTGCTCCCTCCCTGCCGCCGCCCCCCCCCCAGGAAACCGATTGATGAGGAATTAATTGAAACGAGCCAGGCTCAAACACACCCTGGCACACATAACCGGCGCCACACCTCTGAGTCTGCAAGCTGCGCTCTCTTTCTGCCTGCCTGGTCTATTTAGAGGGATGCGTTTGCGGCATAAGAATTGTGTGTGTGGGGGGGGGTAACTGGGGGCAGAAAGGAGCCGAGCGGGGACCGCGATCTCGCTCTCCTTTGGGTGGGCGGCTTCCTCAACTTGAGCTTTTCTCTTTGTGAGCGTTTCAACTCTAAGCACGGTCGTGAAAAAATACACCCCAGTCAGACCCTTCTATTGAACCGGAATGCGAACCGAGCCGGCAACTTTCTAGCCAAGCAGCGATCTGAGAAGAGGCTTGCTGAAATCCCTTCTCCTCGCCGTCCCCCTTTCCTTCTACCGTCTGATCCTCCAGATCAGCCCAGGACCAGCCTGCCCTTCTCGGTTTGTCGGCGGCTTTCTACTCCAGCGAGGCAGGAGCGGGACTGGCCTACCGGCCCGGAGTCTCTTACTCCTGCGGCGGCAGCCTGTTCCACTCACGTGGCCGCGCCCCTCCTGCCTTCCTTGTCTAAAAGTGGGCCTGTAATTTACAAGGAATTAAAATTGATTCTTTTCATCAAGCACAGAAAATAGGAAAATGTTGAGATCGTTAATTATTGAGGGAGGCGCTTTCTTATTAGAGGCAGCGCTGTTACAATTCAGCATTTAAATAACTGCAAAGCGAGAACAATAATTATCCTAAGAATTCATATTTCAGCCTTTAAAAAACGCACTGATTCCCCCCCCCCAGTGATTTCGTCCCCTTGCCGGGAAAACACAAAAGACGGCACCTGTCTTCCAAAAACCGAAAGAGAGGGCCAAAGCCGGTTTACTCAGGGTGGAATTTTTTTAGCCAGTGGGACCCGGAGATAGCACGGAAAAAGAATCCTGAAAAATTGTGCCGTCCGTGCCTGTCTTTGAATTAAAGTAACAATGAACTGGGTTTGAACAATGTTAGCAATCGTAAAAAAAAAAAAAAAAGATAAAATAAAATAAGTTTAAAAAAAGAGATCCACTCCTTCTGAGCTCGGAACATTGATAAACTGTAGAGATTCTGTACACCTGGATTGCCGTGAAGACGACAACGTCACGCTCTTCGAACTTTCAGAATGTATTTCTATTTGCCCTGTCCGTTTCTGCGGCTTCCCCCCCCCCCCAGCCCCTCTGTGCCCCAGGTGGCGCGAGACTTGCCAAATCAGGACCCCGGTCGGTCCCTGGGATGCCGCTTCGTCTCCCTGAAGAAATCGGGAAGAGAGCGAGGAAAAGCCGGTGGTGGTGGTGGTGGTGGCGAGGTTAGAATTTCCCTGCGCGGAGGCCTTTGGCAGGCATTCTAGTACGAAAATTCAATCTCTATTTTTTATGAGAAGTAAACCGGCTAAATAAATTTTATTAGGGACAACCAATATGTTTTTCTAGTCGCTCTCTTTGTTCCAGCCCTACGTGTGTGTAACAATCTAAAACCTATTTATGGTGGGAAAACTTGCCGGATCCGTCATAGAAAACCCGTTTACTTTGCGGGGAAAGTGATTTTCCCAAGTACGCCCTTGTCATGGTGGAGATTTGGGGACCAGAGCGCTAAGCCTAGCCTTGTTAGGGACTTCACTTTGCCTGATCAGGTGGGAAATACCTTCCATTATCCACGGAATGGCCTGACTGGCACTTTTCTGGCTGCGGAGGGGCGGGAGGGGGGCGGCTAAAGCGAGGGCGGTGGAAAGGAAAGCGGGGGGGGAGGGGAGAAGATGAGGAGGGGCGGCCCGCGAGCGGCTTCTGTAAGCGCACCTCGGCGTCAACCCTGGCAGCATCAAATCTCCCTTTCCAAATCTTGGGATCGCAAAGCCGGAGAGGACCGCAGGGGGAGGAGGAGGAACCAGGGCGAGCCCGGCTCTGGCCAGCCCTCGGCCAAGCTGCCCTTTTTTCCCTTCTCCGCTTTAAGATCCCTTTCGTTCCTTCCCTTCCCTTTCTCTTTTAGCCTCCTTTTTCTTTTCCCAGCCCCTCGCCCCCGCGCTTTCAACTCTCGGAAGGAATGATTTAGTTTGTTTATCCTGCTATAAAAATCAAGAGCAATAGAAAAGTCATAAAAAGCAACGCGTCATCCATCACGCCGCAGCCTTGTTTCCCCGCGGCTCCTAAGCTAGATGGATCAGCCGCGAGCTTCGGCCCCCTTGTTAGCGCGCGGAGGGGCCTGCCCATTAACGATCACGCTTTTTATTTATCGACCTGGCAGCGGCCGAGCCAAGTTGCATCAGGGGGAGGGAGCCGAAACGGGTGGGGGGGGGAGCGTCGGAATACCCCGGAAGTTGGGATCGGGCCCCTAACTGGGACGCAAACCTGGGGAGGGGGGGAGGTTGGGATCAGGTAGAGAGAGCCGCCCTCCAAAGGTGGGACGTGCGGAAAGAAGGTCTCCGGGAAGCAAGCCGGCGGAACTCAGGGGCACTTGCTTTCCCACGGCTTCGGGCTATTTGCGTCCAAGAGAGAAGGAAGGCCCGCGGTCAGCCTTTGCCCCCGCAGGCTTAGTCCGACTCTCTTAAGAGAAGTAGGAGGGGGGGCTCTCGGTGCAGAGGAAAGCGACCCTCGGAGCCGTCTTGAGCCGCGGCTCCCGGTCTCCAACCGCGCCCGAAGGTGGGCGCCCCTAGGGAAGACCCCGAGCCTCCAGGGAAGCCAGGCGCTCACCGATCGGCGCACCCCTTTGTCTCCCCCTCGAGGGCCAGGCCGAACCAACCCTCCCAAGACGCCCCTCACCCCTTCAGCGTCTGCCCGCAGGGCCGGGTTGGAGAGAGGCTTGGGCGGCGAAATGCCGCCGCCGCCGCCGCCGCCTCCCACAGCGCCTTTCGCCTTTGGAGTCTTTAGCCCGGAGGCTCCGGGCTGAATCCCGCGGCCCCGCTCTCTTTTGCTTTGGGTGCAAGCTTTCTTTGCACTAAATGAATAATCTTAATTGCATCACTTTCGAATTAAAAATCAATGTTAATCAAGCTAGAAGTAGGAAATATCAGTTTTCATTGTGCCTGGCCTACTTGGCATTTCCCTCTCTCCTTTTGAGAGTAAGGGGGAGATTAAAAAAATCAAATAACTTTAAAAGGCCATTCTGTTCTGCTACAAATACAATTGAAACGGATTGTTTAGGAGCGGATCAGAAACGGTACAGAATTTTGCACTTAATTTCCTCCGTTATCTTTTACAATAAGGACCTCTTGCCTTGACAGCCAAGTCTAAACAGTAGTAAATTAGTACAAATTTATACTGATTTTACTCTAATAATCGTAATAAAAGCTTATAGATTTGGCACTAATTACATAAATGCCTAATGATCTTGAAAATTACTCTGGTTAGAAATATATTACTAATCTAAACTTTGTTGTTGGCTGGCTTTGAAAAATCAGAACATTAGAAATGGTTCGCTTCCCTTGTGCAAAGCACTTAAAATTGTTGGGATAGTTTAACATATTCAAGAAGAAAATAATGTTTTCGATTTTTTTTTTTTACTTTATTTACTGCCTTCAATTGAGTTTGGAGAGATGAACTTAGAAACTTTCATACCCGCCAAATGGACCGGCGCCGGCCGCCTTTTTCTGGCGCTGGTTTTCTAAGTCAAACCGACAGCTGGAATTACACCTTGTTTTTAAATATACAAATATTTAATTCAAGGGGACTAAGATCACAGGAGGAGGGAGAGCAAAGAGGCATCCCGATCAGAGTATAAATTTCATCAGGGTTATACTCCACTTTGTTCCAATCATCCCGGACTGCAGCTTTACCAAGTTGGAAATGGCCGGATTAGAGACCCTTTAAAATAAAGCCATCCAGCACGTCACCCCCTCTCTGCCGTTGTGTGGGACCTCTTGCTCTCTTTCCCCCTCCCCACCCGGGCCCCAAAAGGTGGGAGAAGTCCCCCCCAGAGGGCTCAAGGCCTCCCTGCGGTAAGGAGGAGGCTAGGCACCCCTCCAAGCCATTGGCGTTTCCCCCCAATGTGCCCCTTTTATTGGCTTGGCTTTGTCAGTCATTTCCAATTAATTTGATCAGGAGGTCAGAAGAAGAAGAGGAGGAGAAGGAGGAGGACGAGGAGAAGGAGGAGGAGGCGGGCGGGTTGTGGGGGAAGGTTGTCCCTAATGCAGTCAATCAGTCGGGGGGACCGAATTGTAAAGGGGCTTTAAAAGCCCAGCCCGCGCGGCGTTCGGCTGGCGCGGCAGCGGCGGGTGCCGTGGCTGCGGGCGGGTGGAGCGGGGACTCTCTGGGTGCTGACATTTGCAGGCTGCCCTCCTGATTGGTCCCTTCGCTGAGCTGCTCACGGGTTCACTGAAGTGTTAAGCACCTCCCCGTCTCTCTAAAGGACATTATAATGCAAGAGACCCCCTTTTTAACCACACACCGAATTTTCTTTCATTTAGGCGATCTATATATAAATATATATCCATAAGCTGTAGAGAAAGTAGATCTGCTTCGGCTTGCCCCCCCTTTTTCTATATATAAAAAATCAACAACCAACCGCTAAAATTTGGGGGGGAACAGCTTTCGCCCTGGAGCGGTGCGCGATGTTATCACACGCCGACCTCCTGGACGCCCGGCTCGGTGAGTTGCCCCCAAGCTTCTTCCCCCCTTTCCCCTGCTCCCTCTCCTCATCACCCAGCAGCCCAGGAAAAAAGCAAGAGCAGGAAATTGACAATTTGTGCCTGATTTTACCTTAATGCGATCTAAATGGGCTAATTTCTTTAAAAGTAATTGTATTGTATTAAAGTTTAATTTGATTTAACTCCGTCTCTTAAAAAAAAACAACAACTATGGAATATGTAGATCTAAAAGCACAATTGGGGGCCATTTCGCTTGGAGTTTTGTCCCCTCTTCCTCCTCCTCCTCCTCCTCCTGGTCTTCGCCTTGGTTATTTTCTCTTTTTTCCCCCCTCTTTTTATTTTCTTTCCCTTAAGTTCTCGTTAAAGAATTGAAGACATAGATTGATGTATAATTTCAGGCATTTATTGGGGTTTGGACAACTGGATGGTGTTGAGCCAAAGGAACTACTACTCGCTCGGCCGGGAAAGGGGCGGCTAAGGCCCCCAACCCGGAGCTCTTATTTAAGCGGGATGGCACTCGAGTTCCCTGCGAGTTGGCGGCTCCCTTCCTCCGGCGCGCCCGGGGCAGGATCCCGGCTCCGGCGCTCGGGGAAGGTTGCCGTCTGGCCCGCCCTTAGTGGATCCGACGCTGAAGCGTGGTGGGCCGCTGCTTTGCCTCCGCAGGAATGAAGGACGCCGCCGAGCTGCTGGGCCACCGGGAGGCGGTGAAGTGCCGCTTGGGCGTCGCAGGCTCGGAGCCCGGAGGCCACCCGGGGGACCTGGCGCCCAACTCGGACGCGGTGGAAGGGGCCACGCTGCTCTCCGGAGAGGACATCACCACGGTGGGTTCGACGCCGAGCGCGCTGGCCGTCAGCACCAAAGACCCCGACAAGCAGGCCGGGCCGCCGGGAGGGCAGAACCCCAGCCAGGCCGGACCGCAGCAGGGCCAGCAGAAGCAGAAACGGCACCGGACGCGCTTCACGCCGGCGCAGCTCAACGAGCTGGAGCGCAGCTTCGCCAAGACTCACTACCCGGACATCTTCATGCGCGAGGAGCTGGCTCTGCGCATCGGCCTCACCGAGTCGCGAGTCCAGGTATGCGGCTAAGCCAGGGCGAGCCGGCCCTCTGCCTCCTTGCCTTCCTTCGGCCTCGGCCAGGGCCGGGCCGGCCCTTTCCCCCCTTCCCCGGTGCCCAGGGCCTGCCGGGCCGAGGCTGGTCCTCTTCCTCCCCGGGTCCCGGCCCCAGCCACGAGGCGCAGAACAGGCGTCTCTCAGAAAGGCGAGCCAAGCAAACGCCAGCCATCCCGAGTCCCTAACCCGGGCACGGAGAACCTTTCGGGTTGTCGTGGCCCTTCCGGTTGGAGTCCAAAGTTTGCCTGAAGCCAAAGGATAAAAAGGCGTCAGAGGGACGAAGTCTCTTGCTTCCCAGGGCTGAAGATGGGTAATAACAGTAATAATTTCGGCCTTTTCGCCCCTAGCGCGAGGTTGAGCAGCGTCGTAGACTTTTAGCCATGGTTTTATTTTGAACAACCTGCCAACTGAGTTGCTGCACTGCAAGGCTAGGAAAGTGGTTTCTGGTGCAACGGACTGGCACGCCTTTCCTAGACACCTTACTCAATTTAACTGTCGCCAATTTCAGAGGGATGGGTCCTCTCTGAGTAAAGTCTTTGTGAAAGAAAGGTTAGAGGGTTTTATTTATTCGGAGAATCTCTAGATTGACCCAAACTTTTTATTTGTGAACGTGATAAATATATTTCAGAAAAGATAATATAAATGTAAAACGTTTATTAAATTTGAGACATATTCACCTTAGTCCTGATTATCAAGCAAGTGAATATTATTTTAATTGTTCTAATTTTGATATCAAATGATTTGAATTGGATTTAATTTGTGAGTCATTTTAAAGCAACTGCGCTGTTCTTAGTCCTGAACTTTTCTTTCCTTGATTCTTTTGATCTTGGATTACACTACTTAAATATTTTGAAATCTATTTCTACTTAGAGTCTTAAAAAATTACATCAAAAGTTCATGTTTTAATCTTACTAAATGTTGTTGGATCCAACTGAAATGGTCTTGGCTTGACACTAAAAAGATGTTGAGAATTAAACAAAAATCTGCCAGATTTATTTCCAAACAAATTTTGAGACAGTTGGAGTATTGTCGGACTTTGCAGAGCAGATCTAATTAATTCGTTGGCAGCTGGAGAATACCAGTGGAAATTGAATGGAATTTTTAAACTTGCACTTAGAAATCCTTAAGATTTTAAAATATGTCTTTTCTAGATTGTCTGTTATCACCCATCTATTTATTTTAAACACTTCAGAAAAATAATAAACATACTTAAAAGCTGCAAGTTAGGCCTTTATTGTACAAAAATTAAAAGTGTCCAATTGTATGTTTTAATGAATAAAACTTTTTTGAAAGAAAATATTTTTCACAAGTAAGATTTAGTTAGAATATATACAACATATATAAAACAAGGTCAAATAAATTACACTGGATTTTGGCAAAGGTTGATTTTTAAAAAAGCAAAACGCAAATATATTAAGGAAATGGTAGTTATTCATCTATTCTTCCCTAGACCAATAAATTCCACAGAAAGTTATTTTATATATATGTATATATACCACTACAAATGTTTAGTTAAAAAAGGCAAATACACAGATTTTAAACTAAATGATTTTAGTTTTATTCTCAGGAAATGAAAATGTATATTGACTTTGATTTACAATCATATGGTAGAACAAAATATCCATCCCCTTAAAACCTATTAACATAGCTCTTTACAACTACCTCAATTATTAGTTTAAAAATACTATTAAAATGTAGAGTTTTTTATCTGAAAATATCTAACAATTGCTTTTCTCCAGTTACATCTTACCTAAAGCCAATTTCCATAGACTTCAAGATTTTCTTATAAGCAAGCCCAATTACATCGACTGGATTTATCTCTCAGTGAACTGCAAGCTAGGAAAAATATCTTAATAACATCTACATAATCTTACAGTCTTCTAATGGCTTCAGGCAGCTGAATAGAAACAGTTTAATCGAGTGGCAATTTAAATATTCTTTACAATAATGTTCTGCAGTTTAAAATGTAATCAAATCAACATAACCTTCTTAATTAACACTTCAGAATGATTAACACTATGTAAGCTTGTGCAAAAAATAAATTATGGGAAATGTATTTACTTCCCAGTTCATTGTATTCTTGCTACTTGATGAAATGGAAGAGTAATGGCTGAGTTTATGGTCTCACACAATCTTTTCGGTGCGTGGGGACTCTACACATATCCAAAATGCTTCACATGCCCGCTTTTACTGCAGCAGCCCTGGATGTACCCTTACATGCAAGAATAAATTATATCTTTTCTATTTTCTGGTCTACATTTTAAAAAGCTATTCCTGCTTGTCAAGGCGGAAGCTTATTCTCCTTTATGTTACTGCTGTACTATTCCCCCCCCCATCTTCCCAGACTGGGTGTAATAGTAATAAAACCATTCTTTTTATAGCATGCCATTATTAGAAACCAATTTCAGAATTATTTATAACCCAGAATGGCTTATTAAGCAGCAATGTGAGAATCATGCAAATGACAGCGATCCAATGCAATATAATAAGCATAATCATTAGTCTCTCGTGCTGATTAATTAACTTTCAATATTTTATTTACATAAAAAGCAAATCAGTGAAATAACTTCTGCTCAGCTCAGGCTTGCCTTTCAATATTTTACTCCAACCTAAAAATAATGTGCAAGGACTCCATTGACCGTGTCCCTCTGCGCTGGCCATGTCACCTGCCACATCTTAATAGGGGACAAGCTGAGAGTATTTTCTAGTTTTCTAATGGAATGAGAAATTGCATTTTCTTCCTCTCCCAGCAACTATTAAAGCGTAATGAATTCGGCCTAGAGTTCACGGCTGGCTGATCGAAATGAACCTGAGATCTGAGCTTTAATGCAGCTCTCCAGATTTCCTACCAAATCTTCCCATTAATCATCTGATGGATTCCAGTGAGATCTTCATAAGGCTTTGGGCAAAGATAGAGAGGGGAATAAAAAGGAAGGAAGGAAGGAAGGAAGGAAGGAAGGAAGGAAGGAAGGAAGGAAGATAATATCCCTTTGACTACTTCTCCCATTTGTAGCTGGGGGATTAAAGGGCTATATATCTCTAAATACATTTACAGTGTGCCTATATTACTGTAATAGCAGATTGTCATTAAAGCAGAGTTTGAAATTGCAAACTCCATTAGACCCTTTGTACCCTATTAATGCTATTGGCTGATGCAGAAGCTAAGAGGTAATTGTTGGTATGCCGATCTCAAGGCAAAGTTGCCCAAATGCCTCTGGCTAATATATTTCCAGAGCCAAGCTGTCAAGGGTGCTTTTTCCAAGTATCCCTCTGGTTCTTGCTCCTGTTTAATCTGTCATGCACTGGTTTCCAAATGGATACATCCACATTTTCAAAAGCATATGCGCTGTTGCTCTGAAATGAGGTGATCCAGACTTGATGGAAATTCTTTTACAACCCCAGTAAACCATGACACATAAAATGATTTTGTGGCCACCATTTAACTAACCCTAAAATGTAATTGAACAAAATTCTTTCCCCTCTGCTCCACATCTTCCCCCCTCTTCTATTCAATTATTATTCTTATAAAATTTTGACACTTAACATCTGTTCTTTCTTGCTAATGGGCCCAAGCATGTTTTCCAGTCTAAATAAAAGGGTTTGGAAAAATATGTCTCTGCTTGGAGCCCACACACCCCAAAGCCAAGGCTGAGAAAGTCTTGAAGATTTCAACAATGGTGTTGAAAAAAGCAAAAACTTCATTTTCAAAAACATGGAAATTGTGGTCAAATCTGTAGTCCATATTACTCTGAAATTAACAGATGTGCTCTCTAAGGAGGTAGGGCATTCTTAATACTTGAACACAAAGATTAAAGATCTGTTAAAATTGTTTAAGTGTTAAAAGATTGGAGAAAAAAAATGATAAACTGATTGGAGAAACAACTAGTTCCTCCTTCTCTGAATAGTATCCTGGTTATCTTTTAAATTGGTAGATTATTTATTTTTTATATTTTTTTATTCTACCTTTATTACAATATAAGTAATTCAAGGTGGCAAGCATGCATAATACTCCTTCCTCCTCCTATTTTCCTCATGACAACAACCCTGTGAGGCAGGTTGGGTTGAGAAAGTGTTTGGCCCAAAATCACCAGCTGATTTTCCTACCTAAAACGGAACTAGAACTCAAAGTGTTCTGGTTTCCAGATCAACAATTAACCACTACACCAAACTGGCTCTGTGCTTGAGAATGCAAACTGAAACATTATACTTGCACCACTTGCCAGTTGACAGCACCCAGGCTGGTTAAAAACAAACCATCCTTCACATGAAGCAAGAACAGACAATAGGAAAAGCCAATCCAATTTCCATCAAGTCTGAATCACCTCATTTAGCCAATTGGCTAAACAATAATAAAACCTAGTTAAATTTTAGTGGGAGGAAGAGGACTAAAAGGCCAGCAACACATTCTTTTCAAACAGCAATTCATGAGCAGCCCTTCACTTAAAAAATGACAGTTATATAGATAAATATTGTATCTGAGAAATGAACTGCAACAAAATATACAAAGCCTAAATAAGAGAGAAAGCTAACTGAAGAACACAATCCTAAACAGGCCTATATTTGAGTTAAATGGAGTTTGTTCAGCATTATATTTAGAGATAAGTGGGAAAACCTTATTACACTTATTGTTATGCTTCAAATCATAGTGGCTGTTAGCTTTGAAGAGAAGTCACACTTGTGTAATTTCCCAAAGCTTTTAAGAAGGTATATATATTTAGGAGAGGATTTTTAAAGAGTTTCTGAATTAAAAGATTGAATAGAAGTGAAAAAAAAAGAAGTAAGCATAGGTAAGGTCAATAGTAGCTGAAACTGATAAAAACTTGATTAACTAAAGCATAAGTGTGAATGCCTAAAACAAAATTCTGTACATTTGCCAGAACAGCTCACTTGAGGTAACATTTTAGTAAGTAATCTTGCAGCTTTTGAGTTTAATCCCCAGTTTCATAGCAAAATGAAATCTGATCTGTTTGCATTGAAATATCTAGATAAGTGCTTTCTTTTCACTTTCCTGAAATTCAGCCAAAGAAAATTTAAATTGTACAACACCTACTATACTAAGCAATGGCTTTTCATTTCTGGTATGGAAAATATGCTTGTTTTCGTCATAATTAGAAAATACAAGACTTAACATAAAACCATTCATGTCCATTCTCATTAAAAACATTTAAAAATTTGGAATTTGGGAAAAAATGGGGAACTATTGGACAATTGGTCTAGGCTAGCTCTTTCTTTTAAAACCAAATGCAATATTTGAACTGGTGTATAATTTATTAGATCATGGTGAAACTCATAGTTACTAATTCACCTGGCTTTTATTTTCAATCACATTATTTTAATTCTTGGGTCAGAGCAGTGTGCATTGAACCATATAATGTAATCTTCTTTGGGTTGTGTGTAAAAAAACTCACATACATGAATATATTTGAAAAAAAAAATAAGCTGAATCACACTGGATAAACACTTATCTGGTCTGGATTTTTCATAAACAACACTTTATCTGGCAGGGCTTATGAAAACAGTTTATTCCAGTAATCTGAACTGGTGGCAATTGCCATACTAGTATTAGGCATACCACTGATTTAAAAGCACCGGTAAGTATCCATAAATAATTACAAATGGTACTTATATATACCAAATATCAACATACAGTGGGTCTCAGCAAGTTGTTGCTAGGATATTTCTACCCAACATGACATTGTGTTACTGAATCCAAGGCTGAACATAGGATTTAGCAATAGTGGTTGTTAGACTTCCATCCTTCAGATTAAGAATTAAGGATATAAAGTCCAACACAGAAACAGATAAAATGAAGACTGGCATGTAATTTTCAATCTTAGTTTTGCTGTGGTTTGGAGTGTAAATTTCCACATTTTAAATATTATACCATTTCAGTATTAGTGTTTGTCTGTATGTGTGTGTGTGTGTGTGTGTGAGAGAGAGAGACAAAAGATTTATCAGGAATGCGCTACTAATTCTTGAACATATAACAATGGAAAGGTAGAAATGCTATTTGGATATATTTGTTGATTAATAGAAATCAGTGCCAAATATATGAATTCAAAATAAGGACTACTATATAAATTTAGACTTTCTTCTACAAAATATAAAATTGCAGCCCAAATTAGCATGACTCCCTCAATCATTTTGCATTATAATTATAGTCAGATGATGTATCTGCTTTGATTATACTGTTTGGCTATTGTGTATTTCTGATAAGTTGATAATAGCTTCAGTGGAATGAAGTACAATACTCAGCAATGAAATATAGCACTTAACAATAAGCTATAATCTTGCACCAGGTATTCTAAAACTTAATTGTATTTAAATGCAAGGGTTTTATTATTCAGCAATGTGGAGATAAGTACAGTGATACTTATTTAAAAGTATTTATTTTTAAATCAGTGCTAGTAATATGCTGGGGGAGAAAATAACAATTGGATCTGTTAATGGAAACTTACAGTCTATAAGTAATTTAAATCCAACCCTACATTTTAGGTTATTTTTCTATTTGCCCACTAGCATCTCCTGAAAGTAAAAGAGGTAACAATTACAGTATAGCAAAACTATCCTGACCAAAATAATCTAAATGTTTATTAAATGCAATGTAAGGCAATGGTGATGCTTGAGACAAATATTGTATTTTATTACAGAATGGAAATTAAGTTTCCTATATTTACAAAGTTTAATTTATTCTTTCCCTCGGACCATCTGTGTTTAGAACTGGCAGATGCCCCTTATTAAAAAGGGATTCTTTTTCTCCCAAAATCCCAATGGAAATATAATACCCGCCCTTCACTATATATTCCTTTGTTTGTTAATTGAGTAACAATTCTCTGCTTCAGACGAAGTAGGAGAAAGCTCTCTTTCGCCCAGAGATTTCCACAAGGTAGCCCTCCTCTGTATCTTCGGGGTTTCCTCGGCCGCTCAGGCCTTCCCGGCGAACTGGTGGACTTGAGGGGGGGGGGCGCACGCCCTTGCGGCTTCGCCCGATTACAGCGCAGTCTTCCGTCGGTCTAACCCGGCCTTCTTTTCTCTTTCATGGGTCCTTTCTTCTCCCTTCCTTCTTCGGCGGCGACTGCTGATCCGAACAGGTCTGGTTCCAGAACCGACGGGCCAAGTGGAAGAAACGCAAGAAGACCACCAACGTGTTCCGCGCCCCCGGCACGCTGCTGCCCACGCCAGGGCTGCCCCAGTTTCCTTCCGCCGCCGCCGCCGCAGCGGCCGCCATGGGCGACAGCTTGTGTTCCTTCCACGCCAACGACACGCGCTGGGCCGCGGCCGCCATGCCGGGGGTGTCGCAGTTGCCCTTGCCGCCGGCTCTGGGCAGGCAGCAGGCCATGGCGCAGTCCCTGTCGCAGTGCAGCCTGGCGGCGGGCCCCCCGCCCAATTCCATGGGCTTGTCCAACAGCCTGACGGGCTCCAACGGCGCCGGCCTACAGTCGCACCTCTACCAGCCCGCTTTCCCTGGCATGGTGCCCGCTTCCCTGCCAGGTCCCAGCAACGTGACGGGCTCGCCGCAGCTCTGCAGCTCCCCGGACAGCAGCGACGTGTGGCGGGGCACGAGCATCGCCTCCCTCCGCCGGAAAGCGCTGGAGCACACAGTCTCCATGAGTTTCACCTAATGGCGCCCCCGCCTTCCCAGCCAGCAGCCTCTCCCAGCCGCGCCTCCCGTTTTCCCGCCTTTTCTTCACCTCCGTCCGGCCTCCCTGCTCTCACCCGCGCGGATCGCCTGGTTCCCGCCATTTTTCCCCCTTTTTACCTAAAAGAGGAGGGGGAGCCACTCACCAGGGAGCCGACTCAGGATCTGAAACCAATGGGCTAGTTTTGTGGGGAGAGTAAAACGCAAGCGCTCACACACGCGATCTCCGGCGAGCACCCAGGGCAAGTTCGTGCTGCAAGGGCGGAGACGTAAGCCAACGCGTGTCTTAATTAAGATTTAAAAAATACCTATCCTAAGGACTCAGCGGGCCTCATTTAAGTTCTGTCGAAGTTCCTCCCCGATTCACACACACAGGGGCATATATAGTGTGTATATACATAATATATATGTATGTATGTATATGTATGTATACACACATATACATGTGTGTGAGTGGGTGAGTGAGTGGGTGCATACATACATACGAATACAATAGCCACGTTTGCGGGGGTTTTGATAGGTTTTTTTGGGCAGGCGAGTTTGACCTTCGGGCAAGAACCGTGGCGATGACGGGAATCGTCCAGGGAAAACAGCCCATTTTGATAACCCTTTTTAAGCGACCGGAGTCGAATTCAATCGATTTTTTTAAGGCGACACAAATCTCCGCCCCTTCCTTTCCCGTCCTCCCCACTTTGATGGGCTATTTAATTTCTAGGACGACCCCGTTTCAGCTTTGGCGCCCCTCATTTTTTCGCTTTGTTTCGGCCGCAGCCCTGCGCCCTCTCGGAGCAGCGGGCAAGCGACGCCTAGCTCACGTAGACCCGAGAGACCTCCAATCTGGCGAAGACTTTGTACAGATAAAGCAAGCCGCTGTTTCTCCCCCTTTTCTGCATGTGCTGGTCCAAATCCAGAGAACAGAAGCTGTTTCGAAGAATGAACCCACGGTGAAATAGGATGTTTTGTGTAGATAAAGCATTCTTGTTACATACTGGTCGATTTGTGATATGTTTTAAAAAAAAATACTGTCTGTGCTTATTTATTATGGAATTTTGGGTTTCTTAATAAATGTTTGAGGCTATTACAAACCTATGATTTGACTTTTCCCAGCGAGTTGGCACCACATTAATGTAAATGGATAAATAAAATAATTTGCTACGTGCGTAGTGGGAACGACGATTGTGAGATAAGGGGTATTTTAAAACGAGTGAGCAAATAATTCATTTTTCCTCCAGTTTGGAATGGGGAGAGTTGTCACATGTTTGGGAATAGTCCTCTGATTTTGCAATGAAGCTACAGCATTCCTTAATTACAATTTCAATAAACCGCTTGATCTCTTTGTGTCAAATGACTTCGTATAAGAAGCAAGATTCTAATGGAAATATCGGCAGCGTGAAATATCTGAATCTAAAACAAGCACTTGCTTGTAAGAATGCACATATAAGGATTACAGCAAAAATAGCAAATACCCAAGTTCCTTTGTTCTGGTGGTGAAACATTTGCAAAAATAATATTTTTCTTCGTAAGTTCAGAGCAAAACATTTGATCAGACCAAGCTACCATAGAGGAGACAAGGCATACAATAAAAAAAATCTTCAGATTTCCTAAAAATAATATTGCTTATGTATATTTCATGTTGATTACTAAGTCTGTAAATGGCAAAAAGAGAAAAAGAAGCCACCGTTTGTGACTATATTGGTAATAAAAAAAGGGCAGAGATTAAGATGGTAGGCTTAGTTAATGCTCCACTGATTTTTTTTAAATCTTGAGTAAAAATTGGAGGGAGGGTTAGGGTTAGGGTGAAATGAAATTGAATGTACTTGGTGAAAACAGAAGGTACATTTGCCATACATCTTTTTTCTGGCTCAGAAATTAATGCCAGTTCTGGTTGCTGAGACTTGCTGCAATGGCAGAGAAGATGCTCACTTCCCTTCCTTATGCTTTTGCAAAGTTGGTCTCGGAAAGACCAAGCGAGGTTGCCAGGCACCAGGCAGAAAAGGACTCTGTCCTATTAATGGGATGCGCTCACTTCATTTATGTCTGCACATCAATTGCACATTTCTTCATTACACACTGGAGGATGCCATGTCCGGGAGCCTTTCACACGAGGGCATTGCTGGCTCCCAGCAAGCATCACCCAGGATACACACACACACACACACACTCACCCCCCATAGAGTAATAATTTTGCTCTCCTCCCAATACTTTAAGGAATCTTTAATTTCAAAATGACAACTTTTTATGGCTAACTAATACCTATGAAAAAGATGTCTAATTAATTTGAGCTTTATGATATAGCATTTAAATAGCCAACACAGACTGAAAATGTTTCAACATAAGCAATCATTCCAAAAATAAGTTCTAAAGACTCCCTATGCTTCAAGCAAAACTATTACCCTTATGGTACTCCTTATGACCCACTATTGCTTTTAGAAAATGGCTACAATACTCTTGAAGTTTTAATATGCTGTTTGTTAAGCTGGGAACAGCATCTTTATCCAAACAATGAGTTTAATTTCTAATTATTTTAATTAAACATGCAGCATCAGAAGAAATTTGATCTTTAGAAGAATGGTTTTTTTAATTTTGTTTTGCTTTGAATTTTTAAATCACTTTTATGTTCTGCTGGACCAGGATCATTTACTGGTGTACTTTACTCTCTGTATTTTTCTATACTTCAGCTAGGAATCTCTGATGGATTCTAAATAATAGCATATATTTAAATATTAACCTTGAACACAATAGTGGTTTTGAAACATAATAAAGAGTTCTTATTTAACCAGGGCCCGGTTTGGTATTCCCCTAAAAAGAGGCATCTTTCTAGCCTGCCTTTTGTCTCTTAATTTAGATCATGGTATCCTTATTGTGTGCTTTATTCCATTTTTGTGTCTTTTACCTACTTTTAATGTATTTTTTTAAAATAAAAGAGTCTCCCCTCTTCTTCAGATCTTGTTTGTGTGATGTTGTTGGATTAAAAAATGTTCTAATTCTGAGCAGTTCTGTTAACTTCTTTTGATACAGAAAATCTAGTTTCTGACAATTAAAATGGCTATGAAGGCAGACTTAGAGTACTTCTCTTCAGGGCTCTGGCATTGCTTCAGGAGCAACATCACCCCTTGATCCATTGGTGGGATTCAGCCAGTTTGCACCACTTTGGCAGAACCGATAGCTAATTTTTTGTTGCCCAGGCCCAGAATGGACTTCTAGAAGTGGCATTCATACAAAGAACTGGTTGTTCACATATTTGAATCCCACCACTGCCTTTGATCTCACACCACTTATCCAGATAAGCAGCTGAGCCAAGTTTTTTCCCAGTTCAATTGTGAACCAACTCAAATTGCAACCCTTCTGCATTTTCCTTTCCTCGCAACTGTTAACCTGCTATAACATTCTAATATTCTCGCATTGTGCTTCAGATCAGTTTTGCCTACTGACCTGTTTGTTTGTTATTCTATTGTTTTGTTTCAGCCTTCTACCACAAAATCAAACACATGGAAAGCCGAGTGCTGCCCGGAGCTCAATTGGGGGTTCTCTATAGGTATACAGGAGGGACTGCTGGCTGGTTCATCATGAGTTCTCACATTGGCATGGGTGAAGACAATTGTGGGTTATTATAAGATGAATTCAGAAGATTTGAGGAGTGACAATGGTGATACTGTGTGGAAATGTCCATAGGTGTTAGGAAACTGTCGAAAATTAAGCTAGGAGACCCCAAACAAATTCTAATTTCTAACTGGAAGTACCAGCTAAGGCCTAAGACAAGTAATTGTTCTTTCAATCTGTGAGCTTCCTAATGAGGTACAAGAAGAACTTGAATTATTCAACAAAGAGCTGTCTCCAGACACGGCTCTTTGACCAGGATTCTTACATAATGCATTTTTTAAATGAATGTATTATTTTCATGTAGAAAATGCTTATGTGCATAATTACAATATTAAAGATGAGCACCCAAAAATGTAGCATATGAAATAAATCTTCAATCTCCAAACCCAAATTTGCAATATGGAGGTAATGATATATATTGTGTTATTAAATAATATTGATATAGCATTTTGAAAACCTTTTTTGCAAAGTCAGAATAACCCAACCTACAAGCTAGCTAGGTTACAAGCATTGTTAAATTATAGGAAGAATTAGACAATACTCCTAAAAGAATTCTACTGAAATCAGTAGTGATATTGCTATTTTAGTAGAGCCAGTGTAATGGTTAAGGCACCAGGCTAGGAACCAGGGGGCCATGAGTTCTAGTCTTGCCTTAGGTAGAAAGCCAGCAGGGTGGACCTTGGATCAGTATTCTTAGCCCTAGGAGGGAGGCAATGAAAAAAACACTTATGAAAAACCTTACCACGAAAACTGCAGGGACTTGTCGCAACACTCTCCAGGAGTCAAGACTGACTGAAAGGCACTTATTTATTTATTTAGCATATATAGGAACATGACAGAAGTCAAATAAACATAGAATATATGAGAAATAATCGTCAGCATCCGTAGCATTCCTTAAACTACATGTGCTCCCTGGGTGGTGCTAAATGCGTGACAACTTTCAGATGCAGCCATACTGCCTCTTGGGCCTCATGGCCCTAACTATCAGAAGTGTATAACTCAAAACTACTTAATAAATAAATACATACATACATAACTATATAGTATTTAAGTATATTAAAGTTGACCAGCTGATATAAAGCAGCCTTCTTCAATCTGGTCCCTCATAGAAATGTTGAGCTTAGAATTTCAGAACTCCTGACTTGCCTGATCGATAACCATCACGACTGAGTATTTTGGCTGTTGTAGTCCCAGCACATTTGAAATATTGTAAAAATATTTTCGCTTAATTATCACCCTTCCCAAATATCCATCATATTATCAAGAGTTTAATGAAAAATGTTGTGCTGATTCTGAATGAAGTTTCTTGGCTTCCTGCAGGCATTTGTTTCCATGGCAATAGATGTTTGCCTTAGATAAAGGCTTGGAAATTAGTAGGACCAGATGATGTAGGATCCTATAGGGGAAATGCTTGATTCTGTCTATCATAGGAAAAATGATGCATTTAAATCAGGAATGTGGGGGAAAAAATTGAGTGCAACATTTTGGTGATTTTTATTGTGCAAAGTGCCTTACAAACTCTACTTCATATACATCCACATTCACAACAACAATGTACATATCTGGCTCATTAATTTATGGTTGAGGTAGATCATGGCTTACTTAGGCCCTTTAATTAATAGCCAGAAACCTTCATGCTTAATCTTAACATGATTTTTTGTTATTAATAAACCTATATAATTAATAAGTGCTACTAAATAGGAACCAAGAGTCACATGACTCTGAAAGGCTACTTTGTACAAGGCAACTGCATTCAGAGAATCTGCCTTTAGCTACTTGTGGTGTTTTAATATGATAATTACCAATTGAAGAGAATATTTGTAACCGAGAGTTAAACTGCGATTCTTTAGAGCAGCCCTCCCCATTTTATGATTCGTTTCCCCCCTAATCTTGCATATTTTGTGATGCCTTTACTTTTGCTGTGTCAGGCTGTACTCTTCTGAGTTCTGAAGAATGAAAATATTTCAAATACATAAATGAAGGCATCTTCATGCTGGAATTAGCAAAAAGCATATAGGCTTACTGCATAATATCATAGGATAATTTCATCCTTAGATTTCTGTGCATTTACATGCAATAGCAAGAAACAATTAATCATACCTTTCCATAATTTGAGGATGGTATAGTGTACATGGATGCAGCTAAGAACTTAAATTTAACATTGTCAGACGAAACTATCTGTAGACCTGTTTCATACTTTACAGTATCAAAGAGGTCCTGAAATTACTGATCTCAAGCACATTTGGAGAGTATTTGACTATAAATCAGTTATCCCTTTAAAACTATTAACCACCGGAGCATTTTTACACCAATCAAACCAATATAATAAATAGACAACCCCTCCTACATTAAGTCAAGAGCGGTCAACCTTCAGATGATTGGAAGATGACTGCAGGGGCTGACAAAATGTATAGTAAATGAGGTTTTATCATATTCTTCGAAAAGGACAAGATTTTAATTTTTGACCTGAATTTTGGTAGCCTTTGTAGGACTACAGTTTTAATGAATATCCGTCAGAAACATCAGAGAAACTGCAAAATTACACTTGGTGTATTTACAGAGTCCTACAGCGTCAGATTGTCTACTATATTGTGCACCAGGTTTTGATGTGAAGATCCCAGACACCTAATCCCACCAATATGTTTACTGAGTAAACTTGGGTAGAATGATTCCTTAGCTTCTTTTCCAAGGAGTTAAGCAAAAGTCACCTCTCTGGATTCTTATGAGAACAATATACTGTAGCTCTCCTCCCATAAAACTAAACGTATGTAATGATGAAAGGTTACACTTGGGGTGCTCTTCCATGATTCAGATCATATATCCAGTCAATTTAATGAGTGCTGATGTGCAAATATGAAAATAAATGCAGATAGAAATGCTTCTGTATCAGCACTGCACTGGCCTTTACATGTCAAACTCCCTTGTCGGGCTGTAATAAAAGACTGCAGTGCAATACCTATTAAGAGTACTTTAAGAAGTAACTTCACAATACAAAGTATATATATATATATATATATATATATATATATATATATATATATATAATATATATATATCCTTAATGGTTATAAAAATACGAATATATATATATATATATATATATATATATATATATATATATATCCCACACACAAAATA